TATATATATATATAAAACATTCAAAGTCTAATATAATATATAAAAATATAAAATTAACTCGACATATGCGGGGATTTAATCCTATAGCAATCATTGAAATATACAATTGGATTTAAATAAATTACGATTTTTCTATTCAAATTTTTAAGTGCATTCAAGATTAAATTTGATAAATTAATTTGATAAAATTAACGTACCATTCCTTTAGCAACCATTTTCTGAATTTCTTCCTGTCTATGCTTCTGGAAAGCTTCATACTCTTGTTGAGAATAAATTTGCTGCTCATCCAATCCCTGCCATCCTTCATCTTGCTGGAAATCTGGTTTCATCGTTTGTACTAAAAATTCTTGGTAACTGTAATGAGAAAAAATACAAAATAGTACATTTCTTTGTTTCAATTCTGATAACCAATTAGCATAAAAAATTTTGAATGTGAATTTTAAAATATGTACCTTATGACACCGTCGCGATCAAAATCAGCTTCATTAAACACATGCTCTCTCATTCTTTCCATTTCTTCCCGTCTCTCGTAGATGTCATCTTCAGGTGCGCCTTCTGTGTAAAGTTTATCCAATTCCTTCAAGAACAAAGCCTTCACCTCGTCTTGATCCCAGTAACCATTTCCATCCAAATCTAGATTGATTTGTCATGTATATGTATAAAATAACTATTTTAAGATAATAATTAATTATGTAGTAAAATGATTATCTTTCTTACCATGAAGATGAAAGAATGTCTTGGGATCAAATTCTTGATCTTCCATATGATCTTGCTTTTCCCATACTTCTTCCAGTTGTTGCTTACTACCGGGATGATGCAACTGTAAGTATATATTATTAAGCTTGTATCAAAGCATATGCAATTTATTGTTGTTCCACAGTTTACTCAATATTTATATAAGATTCTCGGAATTTCGTTATTTACTAATGGTGGACTTCCCACAATTCATAATTCGTCATTCGCAGTTTATGATTCGTTTGTACTTCGTGATAATTTGATAATTTTTTATTATTATTGTGATATTCTATTATTGTGACTCTTATTCTTGGGACATTTCACAATAATAAGTTCTATTCTTTTATAGCTTTCATAAAAATGCGAAACGTGATTATTCCATTCATTAAAATTCTATTGAAAAATCAATGCGATTAATTACCGTAATAAAAAATCCATTAGAGCAGATAATTAATCTATTCGATTTTCTTGTCAAAAAAGCACTTTGCTGATAAATTAATACAATTGATAAGTACAAACAGCTAACTCGATTTATCCATTCACATTATTCATGAATCTCATACGAATAGTCACTGCAAATCACGAATTATTAATTGCATATTAATCTTAAGCAAGTTTTAGAAAAGAGAACAAAGAGAGCTACTTCAAATCCATTTCTCAACTTACAGGTTTGTGATCCTTGTGCTTCTTCTTCATCGCTTCTAATTCTTCCTCATATTTTTTTCTCTCTTCTTCCTTCATACCTTCCAAAAACGAAACACATTAATACAAAAGTGACGTTTACGTATAAATTTGTAATAAGCAAACTCAAGAGGATCCTACAGTGATATCTGAATCGTTGTTTTACCGATAAAACGCGACACATCTTTATATATCACTATATCACTATATCGTGCGCGCAACACACAAATTTTCGTAGAATAATAGCATTTTAATTAGTTTTATTCTAAGAACTTTATTCTCTTGAACTTTTCTTTGTGTAATCTACTATTCTGTAATTTCCAATTTTATAAATACAGATTGCAGAGCTTGATACTATTTGCTTGATACAAAAGCTGTCTTAAAAAAACATCATGTACTGTTACCGGTATTACCCTTCATCTTTTGTTCTTCCTCGAATTTCTTCTGCATCTCATATTCCTTAAATTGCTGTCGTCTTCGTTTATCGGCTTCAGCTAAGTCTTTCGTGGTCTGCAATGTTTTAAAACAATAATATACAAGTGATTAAACAAGGCAGTTCATATAAGACCTTTTAAATATTTTCGACAAATCCAGATATCAAGAGACATTCTACCTTAGCGATCAATTTCTTCAGATCATCTATTTCGAACGTATGCGCGTTAGAGTGATCCAAATGCTCCGCTATCTTTAAATGTTCTATATCCAAATCATTTTTACGATTATACTCTTTGGTAGCGAGATGTCGCAGCCTCTCCAATTCTTCTCGTTTCAGTTCGTCCAGCTTCGTTCTGACCTTATGGTCTACAAATTGCAGCTCATGCGCAATCTTGCCCGTCTACGTACAAAAGCATTCAATTAAAATTACAAATTGCATTTAAGTGCGTCTATGTAAACAAAAAGTATTTAATATTCGATACTCATAGATTTTGATCTAAAATCTATACTCGGATCGGCGTATCACAGATGTAAAAATCGTGAAATTTTATTGTTGAAAAAAGAATTAATACTATTGGATACGACGAGAAATAACTAACGCTGTAGTTATATTCTTTAACAACCGATAAAATTATTATTTTAGAAATGGTGATACGGCAAAATGCCACAAAACTATTTCGATTTTCTCTCAACAAGATCTACGAGAAAAGTCGAGTTGAAACCGTATCGCCAAAAATCAATTCCAATGTGCGCAACTTTTTTTCGTCAAAGAGTGTAATATAAATAAATTACAATCATGAGTATAAATTAATTAATCTCAATTATTCTTAATGAGATTTACACGTATATCTTCTTCCTTAGCGTTTTCTAATTTTGCACGGAATTCTGGATCCCTTTCCAAAGCCTGGATCACTTCCTTTAAGTATCGGTGATATTCCATTTGATATTCCGGATCTCCCTATAAAAATGAACGTTATTTATACTCAAACCAGATCGCTAGAACTATCCCAAAAATATACCTACCAAATCGTCTGAATCGTCGATCTCATTCTCCTTATCTTTGTGATCCTCGTTTTTTTTTTCAACAGGCGGCGCGACCGATGTTTGTATTATCAAACCTACTAAAAATAGTAGCAGGTACCGCATTTTTTCTGGAACTAAAACCAAACAGAAAGATACACCAACGAAGAGGAATCATAAAAGAATTTTTTTTCTAACATGAAGTAAAAACAAAGAATACATTTATTCCCTTGAAATCCATTGTTTACGCTTAACTTGATTTTTACGCTTTATTCAAATTTCAGTCGTAATTTATATTCCTGTCACTGACAGTTCACGCGTTATCTTTTATTTGTTGAAAGTTCTTGATTAATGATGATGATGATGACATGCATCGAGTACATAGAAAACGTTCAATAAGAAAATTCGAAAGATTAGCTTTGGTGTTATTTTTACTTGTGTCAAGGACAAACTGGTTTTAGCCAGCAGGATTCGAGTGTTGTCTAAATACAACACGTACGAACGAATGGTGTCATGATAACTACTGCTGCTCCGGACGTTTACACGGACATTCTTAATCAGATTCAAACTTATTTTACAATAGCGTCATAAGCCGTAAAAAATTTACCAATAACAGTTGAATATGACAAAAATAATCAACTATGATTAGTTAATTTCTTACGGCTTATGATTCTATTATATTATAGAACAAGCATTAGGATGTATTCACAAAACTTTAGCCGCATAAATGTATGCGTAAAGAAATTATCGAATCACATTTCTATCACAAGGATCTAATACGTAAAATATGAGTGAATAATTTTCCTTAAGCATATATTTATGCGGCTATGCAAGTTGTGTGGACATACACTAACTCGGAATGCACTCATAATAACTAATAACATTCATAATTACGAAACTGGCCAATCATAGCTATTCCTTTGAAGAATGGAACGATTGTGATTGGCCAGTTTCTTATTACGTTAGTAAAGTCCGTATAAACGTAATCCGTGATTCACAGAGCTACTGAAGAACAAACGTCACTAAAATGCAACGTCACACAAAACACGACCACAGATTTCGAAAGCGTGCATGCGGATGGTTGATCATGACAGCTCGTAAACGAATTTCCAAGGTGGAGTAACTTTCGATATAGTCCTTGGAACTCACACACACACGGAAGCGAGCAAAATAGCATAATAAACGATCGATCGTCATCGATTATTAAATTAACGTAAATGTAGATGTGCGGCATGTGACGCGGCGATCACATACAATATACATAGTCAAAGCGAGTAACAGATATAAGAGCAAAGATAAAAGAGCGCTTGCTGCTGAGAACATCTGTTTGAGAAAAACTGTCGATGGATCCTTTGTTTATTTCCAATTTCCGCAAACATATGTCTTCGCGTACGTTTCATACGACATATCTCTGATGGAAAAAAATTCTTCAATTTTTTCCTCGAAAATTATAGAATGAGAAATCTCAGAATATTTCTGACTTCACGTATATATGTAAGTGATTCTAGAAAAAAAATCTGGGAAAAATCTTTTAAAAAAATTATAAAATTATACAAAAATTCCAATAGATTATATGAAGAAATTCGAAGATAGTCAAGGATACAAATAAACATTTCTTGCAATGGCAAACGATAAAAGTAGAACAGACATGTGTCAATCCACATATGTAATTACCAAGTACACACATATCTTCTATACGTGTGTCATGACGTGCCCTATGTATTACATTACATTCTATTTATATCGCATTTTTATATTTCTTGCCACTTTTTTATTTCGGATTATTCCGCATACAAACGTGCGAAGAGTTGAAATAGTTTTGTTCCGCGTACTTGCGTCACCTATTCAACCGGGTATTCGAGGTAGTCGATTGCGACACATGTCATGATATTGACGTTATTTCGCGCGTTCCTCTTGAAACATGCGTGTGCAACAGTGGCTCGCACACACGCATGCGGTGAATGTAAACTGATGTATGCAAAAAGAATATATGTATGAAGGCAAATAAACGCAATCAAGGTCGCGAGCGAGAGATCGTGCAGAAATTCACTTACGAAATCTACGGTGAAAGTTTAGCGAGAGTATGGTGATCAATTCGGAGCAATCGGAGCTTTCCCTGTGAGAACACACGGCGTTGTGTAGGTTATAGAGGAAATTAAAAGAAATAGATTTAGCTTACGCTAAAGGGCGTCGTGACACCGAATACTCAGATGACAGATCGTAGCCAGCAAATCGCCAAATATCCGTAATTGAAACTGATTGAAGACACTGAAGACTGACCGAGTAAGATAAGCGAGGCACGTCGGACACACAGATTCGGACCAGCCCGACCATCTAACTCCACCAAACTCCCACTCCCAACTCCTTCCCAACTTGGGAAAATTCTCGACGATTTCAGCGCCGCTTATCAGAGAACTCGGATCTGAGCGAACTAAATAAGTCACGTGATAAGTAGTGGGAATTTCAAATCCATATACCATGCGCTCACAAATACGTTACCCAGACAACATGCATAAATCCACCGACGAGATACTATCAAAGATCGACATCCTTACGGGTGTTCGCGTCCTTGTGAATATTGGAGTAATTAAGAGGAAAACTGAAAATATTGTACTAATTTTATGATTTATTAGTTTAGTGGACGTATTTATGCATTTAGAAATTATAATATACAGGATGCTTCCAATTTTTAATAAAATCTCAAGCCATTATAAAACTGACAAATCTCATGGGATATAAGTATTTATTCATATATAAATTTTTATTTCTTATATTTATACATTTTTTAGAGCTTAGTACAGTTATTTGCAATTTATTCTTGATTGAAGTCGATAATGCAAATAAGCTTCAAAAAATGTTATAAATATAAAAAATAAAAATTTCTTTAAAAATAAAAACGTCTTTAAAAAACAAACATCATTTGGACAAAAAACTCAATAATACTCAATTTTTCTTTAAAATTGTGATTTCAGTGCTATCATCAAAGTTTGATTATCAACAGAGATGATAACTGTAGAGAAATAATTTTTCTGCAATATATAAAATATTATAGCTTTACAAGTATGCATTTATTTATGGAACATTTATATAATAAAAAATCATAAATTTAATAATGTACGAGCCAAATATTTACGTTAATAATAGCAAATTTATATCAATTGTCGATAATGCGTTCTTCAATTACCTCCGGGCCCTTGAGGCCCTTTTTATACCGCCGAAAATTTGCCCAGGGTTTGACAGTTTTTAATAGCATCTCGTCGGTAATAAATCTAAAAAACATTCTAAAGACACTTTAATAGTCTTCCAAGGAACATCTTTTAGACATCTTCAAAGTTTTGTCCAAATAACGTTTGTTTTTTAAAGACGTTTTTATTTTTAAAGAAATTTTTATTTTTTATATTTATAACATTTTTTGAAGCTTATTTGCATTATCGACTTCAATCAAGAATAAATTGCAAATAACTGTACTAAGCTCTAAAAAATGTATAAATATAAGAAATAAAAATTTATATATGAATAAATACTTATATCCCATGAGATTTGTCAGTTTTATAATGGCTTGAGATTTTATTAAAAATTGGAAGCATCCCATATTATAATTTCAATGTCCCGCGATATTTTATTATCATCAGAGACAAACCTGAGAGAGGACGTGAAAGCCTTCTTCCTGCAAAATGCCGCTGCGTAACTACTGTCCTCTGAAGAAGTGGAATGTAAATCACACAATATAATATCCATTTTTTTTGGTGCTCTTGATGGAAATAAATCGCTGAAATCGCTGAAATAACTAAAATCTATAAAATTAATAGACATTCAGATTTCTCTCTGCCTGTATTTATAATTAGATCTTATATTTAAGATTGTCTTAAGTGCAATTTTAAAATATCATGGACCAATCAGAAAGTTGTATTAAGCTTGTTCTACAATAGGGTCGCAAAGTCATAAACCGTAAGAAATTGGCCAATCACAGTTGAATATGACGAAAATAATCAACTACGATTTATTAATTTCTTACGAAACTTTGCTTGCAACCCTATTGTAGAACAGGCTTCAGCATGTTAGGACATTAATTAAGATGATTCTAAAATAAGAACCGACTATGAATACCGACCTTAATGCACACTGAACGCTATGAGAGATGAGCGATATCTAATAAGAACTCTGCTTTTGTACTGCTTTGTCATGTGCAAAAAAAGCAGAGCTTTCACGATTCAAAACCGTAATGTAAGAAATTTTTATATTTGTTAACACCTTTAAAATATCTAATTTTAATTATACTGTTAAAATTTAAAAGTAACACAAATATAGATATTCAAATATATAGGACGGGAATTCCTGAAACATAGCGAATCAATTAATGCGCTACTTTATCATATAATAATTCTAGCGTTTTTCATTGGCGAGTTCAAGCTGGACAAAGCTGCTAGCATATTTACCGAGCGATTGAATGTGATTGACTGCGTTCAGAGAAAACTACTCACTGAGCAAAAAAGGGATTAATATATAATTAATATGTTTATTTATTATAATACATAATGTAGAATAATTTGTCTATTACAGATAATCTTTAATATCATATTTTTTATTTATTTATTACTGTTTATTATTTCTCTTATGTTGTAAGATTAGGTAACGCTCAGTGAGCGGTTTTTCTCTACTGAACGCTGCCATTGATTGGATCTATAAGTAACAACCAATATAATTATATATTCATTTAGCAAGAAGGCTAGCCGCTTTGTCGACTTGAACGCGTCCAATGGCAGAACTGATGGTTACAAAATACATACATATCACAATACAACATTCGCGTATAATTGAAGAAAATTCGAATTCTAGTTCTGCAATAAAAATCTTTACATTTTTGTTTAATAATTCTTTTAATAATACAATCTTTATTAATGGGTCCTTGAACAAAAATTTTAATTTTGCATCTCCTACTATGGAAATAAAAGTTGTTGAATTTTAATAAACGAAATTGAATATTCAAACAAGTTAATTTACAACAAGCAAATTTTGTTTTATAAATGTGTCTGCATAAAAATGAAATTACGAAATTATGTTTCTTTAGACAGATTTTCCATTTTAACTAAACATAATTACTATATATTTTATCAAAGTCTCTACAATTACTATAATAATTATAAAGACTTTGAATAAATTCAAACTTTTTGAATCATATATTGTCAATTTAAGGTTTAATTTAGCAAAAACGAGCTAGAGGCCCTCCACCACCCCCGCCAATTTTATCGGCGGTCCTCTTTTCTTTGTAAATATATATTCACCTATTAAAAAAAAATGAGCTACTAATAAATTTGATAATTTAGTAGCCCGTTTTTGCAGGTAAGTATATTTTGAATTAATTAATTAATTTTTATGTCTATTTATTTCATTGTATTTTTTTCGCTAATGATATTACATTTTTTTAAATATTATCTTTTATTGAAATCCTTTATACAATTCAATACTACCATAATAACAATTATTTTTTTACAATATAATATATACAATCATAAAAACTGTTCAAAATATAATAAAAATGATATTATAAGAGCATACAACTAACAAATTTTAGTAATATCGAATTATACGAAAACGTCGAAAATACACGATAACACAAATTTTTCTAAATCGATATTTAATGAAATATTGATAAATGAAATACTAACGCGAAATGAAATACTAACAACTAAACACTATCGTTTACTATTAATTATTAACTTCTCGGAAAAAAATGTTTTATATATAATTTTATATAATTGTATATAAATGGACATATTCTATTGTATATATAATTATATATAATTTTAAATATTAATATATATAAATATATATAATTTTATATAATTATATAATTAATAATTATAATTATATATATAAAACATTTTTTCCCGGGTTGCGATTACAAAACTTATTAATATTGTGACAAAAAGTCATTAATATATTTATGACAGTACTTTCATAAATACATTAATGACTTTTTAAGATGTTAACGTTCAAAATAACTTAGCCGAATAATGTGATCACATCAAGATTCCTCTGCCTCGTGGTACGCTATAGTTAGCATCCGATTAAAAGAAGAATAATCTTCAGTGAAGAGCATACTCTCTACTTTAAATTCGCAAAGTCCATTCATAAAGAAAAGTTAATCAATCCGTCAAACATCAGCGATCTTGTTACAGGAGGCTATGAATCCCAAAATTTTCAGACCATTTACGATAATAATAATTTTGTTAGCATGTCAATCACAATTAATTATCACATCTTTAATATAATTAAAATTCGCGAAAAAATATGTACTGCCACATATCACTAAAAATCATCTCTTATTAAAAATGAATAGAATAGAATAATTTCCTTATGAAATAGTGGTTACAAAGGAATATATTTAATAATAATAAAATACATGCGTTATTGTACTTTTTTTATATGTATGGATACAAAAGTTTCTCGGGTACCGAACTGTTCAAGATAAGTCGAACCCGATAATAACGGGATTTTAAGAACTTTTATACTAAAAAATTTATTATGTAAAATTTAACTATTCCTCATTTCTCTATATTTTTCAAAAATTTTAATTATTAATATCCCGCTAATACAAGGGTACCCATTCAACTTATCTCGAATTTTTTGTAGCCACACAATTTTAATTAAATTTATCGACAAAAAATAAAATTTGTTAAATATTATATAATCTCATAATATCTGCATGTATTTTATCATAGAAAAGTATGTACATATATAAATTAATAATTAATATTCTGGAATAGCGGGATGTCCAATACCTAAAAATGATTTCAAAATAACAGTTAGAAAATTAAATATATACATCTGTAACCATACTTTTGTTAGAGCAATCATTGAAAAATTAGCAAATTATTTGTATAAAACTTAAATTTATTTATTTAATAATTTGGATTTAAACAAATAATCATTATATATCCATATTAATCATATGATACTAAATTTCTATTATTATTAGACAGTACTATTACTAACATTATTATTACTAGTGGGAAGAACATATAATAAAAACAAAGAAAACGACAAAAATTGTATGCTAAAATATATCATTGAATTTAATTTCCCAACTTGACTTTAAAATATATAACAATTGACTTATTGACAAAATTATTACTTTCAGTAATTACAGACGAGAAAACTCGAGATTAATTCCGATCCTGTACCAGAATCTCCAAAGAGACACTAAAGACTAGAGGTTCTCAACCAAACTTCGTGAATGAACTTTACGAAATGCGACGAGGAATAACTCCTCATGATGAAAATAATTTCAACTTTCCATCGGTACAAACACGCAATCACAGGCATTCATCTGACGCGAGGGACAACGATGAGG